GAGAGAGAGAGTGGAAGGGCCTGGCTGGCTGTGGCTCAGGAACTGAACCTCAACCTAGGATCCTGGAGATTGTGGTTCGATTCCCAGTCAGGGCACAAGCCTAGGTTGCGGGCTCAATCCCCAGTCCAGGGCGTGCAGGAGACAGCTGATCAATGACAACTCTCTCATCATTGATGTTTCTCTCTCTCTTTCTCTCTCTGCCTCTCTCTTCCTCTCTCTGAAATCAATAAAGATACATTTAAAATAAAAAAAAAAAGAGAGAGAGAGAGAGAGAGAGAATGGAAGGGAGGGGGAAAGACAGAGAGAGAAACATCTATGTGGGAGAGACACATTGACTGGTTGCCTCTCGCATCCACCCCGACCAGGGCCGGGGATCAGGCCTGCAACCGAGGTATGTGCCCTTGACAGGGAATTGAACCCAGGACCCTTCAGTCCAAGGGCCCATGCTCTAACTATTGAGCCAAACTGGTCAGGGCAAAAATGGTCATATCTTTACAACTTAAGAGACTACAAACTCAGATTCAGAAATGAAATGGAGAAATGGAGATATAAAAAGGGAGAAAACCACTTCATAGTCATTTAAGAAAGAATCAGAGTTCACATTAATAATCTAAATATCTTGTTTTAAGTCAGGTTTTGAAAAATGATTCTCACCGAGAAATATTGCTCAGCTTCAAGTTGGTCTTGCAGTTCCCGCATCTGTCCCTCATTTCCTCTATATTGTCTTCAGAGAAAAGAGAAAACAGTAAACACATGCTCCTATTTATGGCAGACTTTATATTATTCTTTGTTTCCTAAAGTGGCTAAAATAAAAAAGGTTTACTAAAATGACCTTTGTTTTAAAAAATCATATTTCATTATACAGTATTACTTTACTAATTATATTTGGTTGGGCCATACTGTCTGGTTCCATTTTGCTCCTCATAAAATGATACTATGCAAAGCAGAAGGAACCCTTTTGTAATGAAGGTCACTTTTGGGAGAACATTAATTGTGGATTTATGCAAATTACAAAAATAAAAATTAGTTTTTGGGGTAAATTTTTGTAAGGAAAAGCATTCTTAGGGATACATTTACAATTTCTTATGTAGTGAGTAAACCATTAAAAACAAAGGACATTAAAAATATTTAATATATAATAAAAATAAGTCAGTACTATATATACGGCCAATTAAAAACAAAGCAGGGGTGAGGTGGGTAGAAATGAATAATCAGGTAAGGAAAAAGAAATGAGGAAAATAAACAGACAACTAACTACATATATAGAATACATATATATACACAACTCAAATAGAGAGGAACAGACTCAAAAGGACAGTGACACAAATTTTCAAAGATGAACAAGTCCATCTGCAGCTGCTAGGTTTTCATATTAGATATTAACAGCTTTATATTTTCAACATCTAATAAGGCATATGGTTGATAAAAGGTACACAGTAAATGTTCACTGAATGATGAGTTAATATGGGGAGAAAAAAACTATAAAACATATTACTTGGTGAGAGTAGTGGATCTAAAAGAAAAAAATTTCACCAGTATAAATACAACAAGATCAAAACTCACAATTTTATCCAAGAATCACTGTGCTATAAATGAAGCTGGAAAAATTAAGCTATTATAACATAAATTTGGAGGAAATAAACAAACATGCTTTATTAAATTTTTGAATATTAAAATATTAAATTTTTGAAGCATGTCCTTATACAAGTTCTGAAAGCAATACTGACACCTTGCTTTGTCTCCATTTCAAGTAAGCAGGTACATCAGATCTCAGAATAGAAGGAGAAAAACGGCACTTTGCATTCTGAGATGAATCAAAGGAAGAAAACAAAACAAACAAATACAGGGTCATCATGTCTAAGTCTAGTCTCTAAAATAAACCTTGGACAGTTCCTGTAAGGTACTGAATCTGTAAAAAAAAAAGTCATCCCCGATTTTTGTAATTCAAACGTGAAAAAAAGATGACTTTTGTGGACATAAAAAATCATGAGAAAACTGTGGTTTTTTTCAACCAAAAACAGACCTCCTGTAAAGAAGTAGCCTTGATAATCTCCTTTTTCCTTCCTTTAAATGCCAGTATTTTTTAATTTAATTAAGCCTGTCATTCCAAACTTTCTTTGCAAATAAATTTTGTTTCTAAATGCTTTTTTAAGTCTTCTTTCCACAAATTCTAAGTATGTAATCTATATACACATAAAATAACAAACTCATAAAGCAATGTTGAATACCAAAAAAAAAATCAAGAATGTTATTTTTGACACTTACTTTGTAAGCTGAGCTAACTCAAATTCTAATAATCTCTTTGCTTCCAGTAAAGTATTTATTTCCTGTTTCATCTGCTTTTCTAGACCTTTTAAATTGTCTGCCTCAAATGCTTGAGTCTTCAATTCATTCTGTAACAACAGTCTCTTATTTGATTCCTGTTCCAACTGCAGAGTGAGATTCTTAACCTATGAATGAGAAAAATGATTGGGATCTTACAATCTCTTTAAATTTATTAGACATTATTTGAAAGAATATGAATCAAATCTCAAGTACATTATAATGTCTTACATGCCTTACACAAATAAAGAATATCAGTATTCTATAGAGTCTCCATTATTTTATGTTTATTACTGTAAAATTCACTATTAAGTCAAATTAATTCCCCAATTTCAGATGAGATTATAGGGAAAAAATTTTGGTTTCTTTCTACTCTAACCTGTATGGAAATTCTGGAGTAGAAGATGAGTATAAAAGCCACTTTTGGGGGGAACTTCCTAAGAGGTACTTAAATTTACCTGTTCATTCATAAGTGTTTATGCTAGGCTCTAATCCTCCAAAGTTTTTGAGGCCTTCCTTAACTACCAGATGTGATTAGTCATAACACTCCTACAGCACTCGCTGTATCCTCTTTTAAATATATGTCATGCCTGTAATTACTATTTTAATATGTCTTTCCCTCTGGACTGTAAATTCCACAAAAGTCAATATCATACCTATGTTATTCAGTATCCCAACTTCTAGCACAGAAATAGGCAGATAACAGATAGTCAAAAATTATTTTAAGTGACTGTTATCTTTCAAACTTTCAACATACATTTTTCCTGCATGCTGATTCTAATTGATATCTCTAATTTCTCTTCTTTTTAGGCCATTATATATGCTATTACCAGATGGGTTTTCTTTAAAAACTCTTTTCCCCTATAGTTCCCATTTTAAGTTTAAAAGACTATTAATACTTTGGTTCTCAAGTTTCTCCCATCACCAAACTAGTCTTTTCTCTGGTCAGATAAAGTTCTTTTGTTCCTCACTTACTCATCTTTTAAGTACTCAGTAATCTCTCTTTTATTGTTATCTCCACTGATAATGTACCCTCTACCAACTCAGACTTCTAATTCTCAAACTATTAACTTTTGAGGTCCTCCTCAACCTTTAAAAATAATGGTAATGTTCTATCCTTCTTTTGTGAAGTCTTTCCGGATTATTCTGGTCTCTCCCCCTTCTCTAACTTACCTGTGTAGACTAATTACTTTCACCTTATAAATAATTTCTAAAATACATATAGTAGCCACAAGGATACAATGTCATTTTGTCTTTTTATTTATTGCTTTCTAAATGTGTACACTGGGCTTTCTATCAATCTAAGCCAGTCAAGACTACAGTTTAATGTTTTTTTGGAACTCTAAGAGCAATGTTCCTCTGTGGAATTATAGAAGACTTTACAATAAAGAGAGGTGGTTTTTTTGGTTTGTTTTTTAAAAAGCAGATGGTGAGTTTCTTCAGGGGAGAAGCTGTGACAGTTCTACACAGTTGTACTATCACACTGCAAAATGACAGACCCTATAGTATCTGAAGATAAAAATTCTAAGAGCTAGGGATATAGTGGTGACCATATAGCAGTGCACACAGATACATATGTTATTTCATTCAAATTTCCTCCATATTGTTTAAATTAAGATAGTGACCATTGGGACATAATGTGAGATTTTTTTTTCATAAGCTGAACAAAATCAGCACTATTTGCCTTACTTCATCCTCCATTCTTTCTTTACTTTCAGTCAAATGCTCCAGCTTCTGCTGAGATTGTTTCAGATCAACATCTAGCATGGAACACTGTTTCTCAATCTGAACAACCCTATTTTCAGCCTTCTCTCGAGCTTCTCTCTCTTCCTTCAGCTTTTTTTCCATCTCTGTGAAAAAAAAGTTACAAACATACATTTAAAGAAAGAGATTACTTCATTACTTTTCACTTTCATGAGCGGTACAAAACAAGCTGGTGCCAAAAATCCCTGTTTTTATCCTGAGACTCTAATAAAGCTATTATTCATTACAGAAGTCCTAATGTTACTTGAATTATTTATCTAGGGGCATCTCTAAAGAAAGAAAGTTATAAAATATAATAAAATAATAAAAATCTTCTAAATCCAGCCTTTGCCCAATGATATGAGAGATTATCAGTGCCATTTTCAGACCAGAAGGTGGAAATATAGCTGGGGGAGCGGGGGGGCGGGGGGCATAACTAAGGAAAAAAATGGAAGTAGTTCAGATAAAAGCAGAAAAATAAGTCATGGTCATTAATCTACATCTTGCATTGTTTCAAAAAAGTTTCAAGAGACTTAAGGCTATATAGGACTTCTAATTTATGCAACTCAGATCAACAAAATTCCATGGTAGCATAACACCTATTTTAATTTTTACCAGAAGATATTAGTCTACACTGAAGTTCCTTTTTTGAGATAATGGTAACTAAGGTTCTGAGAGGTTAACTTTTCCATGGTCTTGCACTTAGTAAATTGCACCATCAGTATTCAAACTTATTAAGTCTGCTTATCCACTCTCAGAGACTGCCCTCTAGGTGACAAAAAAAATCCATTTGAATGAAACTTCATCTTTCCCCCCAAACCTACAAACTTAGCTGCACCAATAAAATTATCTCCTCTTATTCCCATCTCTTTAATCAAATATAAATCCATCTACTTCTGTTCTGGAATTTGTTTCCACAATTATTTCATCTCTTTCCTGCCTCAACAATTTCTTCCTCCCAAATGAATCATTCCCATCAAATAATAAGCTAATTACCTCCTTAAATATCCTCTGATCTCACATCCCTCTTTAGCTACCACCCCATTTCTGTTCATAGTCAAACTTCTTAAAGTTATCTACACTTACCATCCCCAATACCTCACCTATTATACATTAATCTCTCTTCAATTTGGCTTGTATCTCCACGATTTCACTCAAACTGCTCTTTGTATGTTAACCAATGACAACCATCTTGCAAAATTCAGGGGACACACAATATCCATGTCTTCATCTTCCCTGACCTTAACATACTGAACCACTTCCTCATTTTTTCCAATGCTTTACTCTTCAAGCTTCTAGTAACATATTCTCTTGGTTTTCCTGTTACCCCTCTGGCTGCTCTTTCCTTTGTTGGTTTCTTTTCTTACACTTGACCTCCAAATATTAGATTGCCTAAGGGATCCATTATGATTCTTCTTTTCTGACCTTATTCTTCTCCGATTTCATCACATTCTTCATATGGCTCCATGTATATGACCCTGAATTGATACTCTCCCCTGAGCTACAGACTTATATGCCAAATGACTATTTAACATCTCCACCTAGATATCAAATATGCTTTTCAAAGTTAACATATCTAAAATAGATGCCATTATTTTCCTTCCATCCCAAACCACTCCTACCAGTCATCTCAATGTCAAAATATATTCACATTCATCGTTATTAAAATTAAAAGCCCAAGTCTTCCTTGATTCCTTCCTTTCCTCTTTCCATTCAATTCATAACTGACTTGTCCTCTGTATCTCCAATTCTTTTCAGCTTTACTACCACACCCTGCAGCCTTCTAGCTGATCTCCCTTTGTAAACTGTTCCCTTTCTCAAAAGCATTCCTCACACACAGCAGCAGAGGTGATCTTTTTTTGTTTTTTAAATCCTCACCTGAAGATATGTTTATTGATTTTAGAGAGAGAGGAAAGGGGGGGGGAGAGAGAGAGAGAGAGAAACATGGATGTGAGAGAGAAACATCAACTGGTTGCGTCCCACATGTGCCCCAACCTGAGATCAAACCTGCAACCTAGGTATGTGCCCTGACCAGGAATTGAACCTGCAATTTTTTTTTTTAAAGAATAGTTTTATTGATTTTTAGAGGAAGAGGGCGAGGGCGAGGGCGAGGGCGAGGGCGAGGGCGAGGGCGAGGGCGAGGGCGAGGGCGAGGGCGAGGGCGAGGG